CGTCCTGGTTACTGCTTCTTTGCGTGTGACATGCTTGCCCTCACTGGATGCTCTGTAGATCAGGCTACCCCCAGACTCACAGAGATCCATCTGCCTCTGGTCAGTTTCTGACCTTAAAGATACAATTTCTGTTTTAAAATTAGTGTGGGCTTTAGATGGGAATGAGACATAGGTGTATGTTTCCCAACTGACCTCGTACCCGGAGTTTACAATGTTTTCCTTCTTGTGAAAACTGACAAACAAAACCAGGGTGGGGGGGAGGAAAGATGTGTGTTTTATGGAGAAAATAACCCCAATGTTAGTACTAAGTTTTCTTAGAGAAGAGACTGTAGAAGGACGGGCCCAGCGGTCACAGCACTTGTCCAATGCTGCAGGGCAGTAGGTTCTGTCCCCAGGGCCGAGGAAAGAACTCTAGTCCTGCCCCTGAGGGTACAGATCCACAATCCCAGCTATTAGGAGGTTGAGGCAGGAGGATGATTAGTTGAAGGCTAGCCCGGCTACATGTTCAGATCTTCTTACCCTCACTAAGAAAGAGAAGTGATGCCAGGCAGTGGTGGCACATGTCTTTAACCCAGTAAGAGAGGCAGAGGTGGCTGGTCTATAAAACGAGTTCTAGGACAGCCAGGAGTACACAGAGAAACCCCATCTCAAAAATATTAAGGGAAAGGGGGTATGAAATACAAGAAAAGAGGTTTAACACCCAACCTTGCATTCTGGTTTCCACAGTGGAGTTTGGAAATATTGAAGCAATACACTCTCAAGACCTCAGCAATAAGAAACTCAATGAAGTCGTGATAAAGCTACCTGGCTCCTCATCCCCCAAAAGGAAGACACATTACTTCCCGAACCCTGAGATCCGAGAAATTGCAAGCAAGCTAGACTCCCTAAAAGACAGCCACATCTTCCAAGTTTTCTGGCAAGAGATGGCAGAGTCGCTGAGTACTCTGAATCAGGACCACAGAGAGTCAGAGCTTTTGCTCCCAGACGCCTGTGAATGCCTGTACTACCCCTGCTATGAGAAATTCCACAGGCTCTATGAGAACGTGAAGTCCGGAGAGATCACCTTTGCTGAAGTTGATGACATCTTCAGAGACTTTGTAGATAAATATGATGAGCTGACTGTTGACCTAAAGTCCATGTGCACCGTGGACCCCCAGGACCAAAAAGGTTGGATCTCAGAGCGTGTTGGGCAGATCAAAGAATACCATAGCCTGCACCAGGCCGTCAGCTCTGCCAAGGTCATCTTTCAGGTCCGAAGCACTTTGGGCGTGACTGGTGACTTCAGTGTTCTTGACACGTTGTTAAACTTTGTAAGTGGTTTGCTGGCTCTCCTGAGGGGTGAGGGCCAACTATTGGTGAAATTATTAAGGCCACTCCACGTAGTTAAAAGGAAGATTTATTTAGTGGGTAACTTACAAATGAAGGGATAGGTAGGTCGCGGGGTCTGGGGAAGGTGTATCACAATCCAGCGGTGTTCTCTGGAGCTCTGCTTGGTCCACCTCCACCGTTCAGGGTCCAGGAACAGAGAGTGCGCTTGCCCATCTGGATCTCAGGTCTCTAGGTGCCTCCCTCCGCCCTGCCTTGTAGGCATGACAGTTGCTGAAGCCTCAATGGGCGTTGGAACTTCCAGATCAAAGCTGGAATGGCTACCCACTACTGCCAACCTGAGTGTTCTTGAGAGCTCAGGGGCTTCTGACTTGGGGGGTTATGGGTGTTGATGAAGCAGCTGGATGGTGTGGGGGATGGGAAGAAGATGGACAGCAAAGCTTTCTTCTTGAGTAATGCTAGCTCCTGAGCCAGTGAGTTTCAGGCCATCCATCCATCAGGGGATCAGCAATTCAAGAAGAGGAGGCCACATTCTTTTTTTTAATTTTTTTAATTTTTGAGATTATTATTACTCATTTCTCCCCTTTTCAAACTCTCCTGTGTACTTCTTGCTGTCTTTCAAATTCATGACCTCTTTTGCCATGTTCTTTAATAATGGCTCTGATCTCAGAATGAAGGAAGGCCACCTGTCCCAGAGGCCATTGCAGGTCTAGGCAGCAGCAAGTGACCCATGACCCCTGGCAGTTAAGATGGGAAGTCTTTTGTTTCCATTTTGATACAGGGTTTCTCTGTGTCCTGGCTGTTGCTCTGTAGACCAGGCTGGCCTTGAACTCACAGAGATTCACTTGCCTCTGCCTCCAAGTGCTAATGGAAGTCAAATGATTATTTTACCATTCATTATCAAGTATAATCCATGCCCAATTATCACAAGACAGAATGGGGAATCTCAGCCAAGTCACCAGCCCCTCTGCTCTGTCACTCATTGCTTATTCCTCCTTCCAAAAGGCTGGTGCATTCCCCAGCCCACCTTTTCTTTCAGTCATCTCCATTTCCAATGAAAATCCCTTCTCTTGAACCAAAAGGCTCCTTTCTATTGGCTAGTGGACTTACAACAGAATGCTTGTAACATTTCCCCCTTTTTGTCTAATTAAGAAGGAAAGATCCTAACCCTAACATAATTAAAATATATACAATAAGAATTATCATCAAGTATTGTCCAGAATAAAGGAAAGGTAATAACCTTAACAAAAATAAAACTACATATAACAAGAACAATTATTAGCCGTGCAGTGGTGGTGCATGCCTTTAATCCCAGAACTGGTGAGGCAGAGCCAGGCAGATCTCTGTGAGTTTGAGGCCAGCCTGGTCTACAGAGCGAGATCCAGGACAGGTACCAAAACTACACATAGAAACCCTGTCTCAGAAAAAAAAAGAACAATTATTAAGAAAGAAATGCATTCTAAATATCCAGCATGTAAGCAATTGGCAAATTATAGAGAGATTATTCCAATAGCCATCCTCTCCTGAATAGTCTAAAGTTTTGTACCTAATATGTCCTTTGCTAAGATTCAGGAGAACTGTAACTATAACTGTCTAGTCTTTAACCCTATCAAAGACCTGAGAAGGAAAATAGTATGACCTGAGTAAGCAGGAAATTCAAACAAACGACTTCCAAAAAAAAAAAAAAAAAAAAAAAAAGTAAGAAATGACAGAAACAGCTGGCTACCTGGACAGTCACCCAAGGTTCTTCTGCAATATTGGGACATCCATCTTTGGCCTACAGGCCTAGAATATCTGACAGAGCTTTTTCAGAAGCAGGAAATTTTGAAGGACTGTCCAACCCTGTCTTGTCGAAGTTTGGCAATCATTTTTCTTTGTTTCCTGCTTGTCCATATTGGACAGTGTACTTATTGTCAGCAGTGGAGGCAAGGGCAGTTTCTTGTCCTATAGGCCAACCTGTGCCACAAAGAAAGCAAACTCTATATGGAGTGTCTTCAGTGTCCATCATCCTCTTTAGAAGTAAATCATTGCAACCAGGAGCAGACTTGTCTTGTGTCAAGAAAAGTCTAAGTTATTAAAACATTTTAAATGCCATATTCTGTAGGTCTTTAAATGTTTGAAGATCACCTATCTATTTGAAACATATCTCTGTATACCTAGAAAACCTAACTAACATGACTATAAGTTTGATAAATGTAGGTGACTATTAACCTGTAATTCTTTATTATCCTATGTAGCTTTATTATCCTATGTAGCTTTTTAAACTTTACATTGCATAAATAAACAAGCTGTATAGGTATGAGCTGTATAGGTAATACCTTAAGCAAAAATATAGTATAGTATCAGGACAATGATCTTAAATTTGTAACAATACACAAAAATATTTTAAACAGAAGTAGAAACATATATACAGTATAACAAAAATAACCTTAAATTTGTATCAATATACAAAAACATCCTAAACAGAAATAGAAACATATATACAGTATAACAAAAGTAATGTTATTCTATATCAATATACAAGATTCCATACCAATGTGAATTATTTAAAACTGATATTTGCCTTTTTAATTTGAATGTCAATTTAATAACCTACCCTTTTATCCTATCATATAATTCCTGTAACATCTAAGTGCTGAAATAAGAGGTATGTGCCATCATATTCCTTGACCAGTAAAATAGAAAAATATATATACACAGAGAGAGATCTGGTAGTGCTATGGGGAGGGACAGATTTCAGAGACCATGTAAGCTTTGGTGTGGAGTGGGAGGTGTAGGGAGGGCAGGAGGTGGACGAACAGTGGAGGATTGTCCTCCATTAAGTGAGCCTTGCCCTTGCTGTGGGTGGTGGCTGCCTGAAGACTAGGCTTGGCTAACTAGTGCCACTACATACTGAACTTCATCTTCCAGGCGGATTCCTTTGAGAGCTTTCTTCATGAGAAACTGAAGCAGATCAGCCCAGAGTTCATCCAGGCCAAGAAACTGCTCCAAGACATCAGTGAGCCCCGCCACCGCTGCCTAGAGGAACTCTCCAGGCAGGGGGAGCTTGTAGGCTGGCTGCATGAGGCCCTGGAAGGTATGGCCAGCCCCTTAGGCTTGCCTGGGTCCTGCAGGTGGCGCCAGATGGTCCTCTGTGAGGTTCTGGTACTTGAGGTTGTACTAAGGCCAGGAAAGTTTCTCCTTGCCTTCTTGAGGCAAAGGGGCAGAGTCTGTCTCATTCACTGGGGGTTATTTTGTTCCAATGTCGTCTCTCAGGTTATGTGTAGAAACTTTTCCTTTGCTGCTCCCTGTATACTAAGGTTGCTTGCTGTGAAGAGCTGAAGGTCATTTTGTACAAACCCAGCCTCCTTTATAGACTTTTTATTTTATTTTATTGTTTTGCATGTTAATAGTGTTTTATCTTCATGTATGTATGTGTGCCGCGTATGTGTCTGGTACTTGTGTAGGCCTAAAGAGGGTGTCAGATCCCCTGGAACTAAGATGACAATTGGTTGAAAGCCACCACGTGGGTGCTGGGAATGGAACCTAGATACCCTGTAAGGCCAACAATTGCTCTTAACCATAGAGCCATATGGCCAGTTTTTTTATTTTAATTTATTTATTTATTGGTTTTCTGAGACTAGGTTTCTCTATATAACAGTTCTAGCTGTCCTGGAATTCGCTCTGTAGACGTGGCTGGCCCGGAACTCACAGAGATCTGCCTGCCTCTGCCTCCCAAGTGCAGGGATTAAAGGCATACACCACCACTACCCAGTGTCTTTTTATTGTTTTATTTAAATAATTTTATTTTTATTTTTTGTGTATGGGTGTTTTTCCTCCATGTGTATCTGTGCACCCTCACATCCATGGTACCTAGTTGTTAGATCCCCTGGAGCTGGAATTTCAGATGATTGTGAATTCCCCTCCCCATTTAACCTTTTCTTCCACAGGATACTTTCCCAGAGGGGTGGTCTGTAACTCCCCATGAAGGTTTTCCATGCATATCTGTTGAGTGGTCAGAAGCCTGTGGAGAGCTATCTCAGTTTTCTCACTGTCCACATATTCTTCTAGCTGAGCCTAGGTCTCTATGTTTAGGTAGTTTAAGTGATGTTGTGTGGTAGATTCAAGGCTATAAGGTACACAGCAAGCCTAGTATGATGCCTGGAACACTGTTGTCTGATAGAGGTTAGATATCAGTCAATAGATGATATTTTTACATTCTTAGCATAAACAGGGAGCGGGTCAAACCAAGACATTAGCTTGGTGTCCGATTATAGCTTCACTTAGGATTACTGCCCCAAATTCAGCATGGCCATGTGCTGACCTCCCCTCTGCTCCTCTCAAGACATCAATGAACTCAAGGTGTTTGTGGACCTGGCCTCCATCTCGGCGGGGGAGAACGACATCGATGTGGACCGGGTGGCCTGTTTCCATGATGCCGTGCAGGGTTATGCTTCCCTGCTGTACAAGATGGACTCGGGTGCAGATTTCTGTGAGTTCATGCATCATCTGCAGGAACTGTGGAGGGCCCTGGACAATGACCAGGACCTGCCCAGTAAGCTGGTGAGTCTACTCAGGATCCAAGGCTATTAAGTGTAATAGCTGACTAACAGTGACCCCAAGGGCAAGGCTGCCACTGATGTTACTGATTCATGACAGACCCCAAGACAGATGTCTTCTCTGTCTTGAGTCGGGAAGGCATAGACAAAATGTCATTGTGGAAACAGAGGGTCTCTGCCACATGAAGCATAGAAGAAAACATTGTGAAATCTTGCCTGTGGGTTTCTCTAAATGGTCATTCTCATTTTGTTCTATTACTTTGAGCATTTCCCATGATTAGCACTTGAGGAAGAACCACTGAGATTGTCCTCTGGCCTCCATGACCGTGTCTGTAGACATGCACACGCACCTGCACACAACAGTGTACTAGTGCACACACGCTCATCACAGACACAAACCTCCGTACTGGGGTCTGATTTTACTTTCCTCACTCTCCATCAAATTGAGAGACTGGCGTGGCCTCAGGACTGAAGAGGAAGTGGAATGCATACAGAGGGAAGTTTGCAAACTTTCTGTGAAAAGCCCACATCCAAATGACAGCTGTAATGCATGTTTTCCTTACTCTGGTCTCCTCAGAACCCTGAAATCGGCATGGCTCAGCAGTTAAGCATACTTGCTGATTTAGCAGAGGCCCCAGATTTGGTTCCCAGCACCTACACAGTGGCTCCCAACCTTCCATTGCTCTATTCCAGGGGTACAGCACCCTCATCTGGCCTCTCATGGCACCAGGCACTCACACTGTACATATACATACATGAGGCAAATACTTATACACACAAAATAAAGTAAAATTTTAAAAACCAAGTCAGGTGTGATTCACACCTTTAATCCCAGAACTCAGGTGGCAGAGGCAGGTGGATCTTTGAGACCAGGCTGGCGTCTAACTCACAGAGATCTGCCTGCCTCTTCCTCCCAAGTGCTGGGATTAAAGGTGTACGCACCAAGCCTGGCTCCAAATAAGAAATTTTAAAAAACAAAACAAAACAAAACAAAACAAAACCAGACTAGGGCTCCACGCCACTCTTTCTGATATCTCACTGTGGGGGTGGTAAGCTCTTTGCAGTGGGTGTGTGGCTATTCCCCACTCACAACAAATAAATCCAATTCCACTACGCCTGCCAGCTAGGGCTTCACGGAAAGCAGTAGAAGCATGACTGAAAATATGCTGAGTGACAGGACCCCAGGAACGAGACAGAGCATAGAGACACAGCATGAGTGCTGGGGGAGGGGTGTGGGGCAGCTGTACCCCAGCAAGAGCAGAGGTGGAGGGTGGCAATGGAAAATGGCTGCTCACTCCAGCCTGCTTCCTGCTTCTGTCCCAATAGCAAGATTCTGCCCGAAATTTGGAGTGGCTGAAGACAGTGAAGGAAAGCCATGGATCTGTGGAGCTCTCGTCTCTGTCCCTGGCCACAGCTATCAACAACAGAGGCATCTATGTTATTGAGGCACCCAAAGGTGGTCAGAAGGTGAGTCTCCCAAAGTCCTGGTGCGGTTTTGCATGGCTCTGAGGTCTTGCTATAAAGTCATGGGACTCTGCACCAGAAACTAACTTTCCAGTGTGCATTGCCTCCCAGATTTCCCCAGACACTGTTCTACACCTTCTTCTCCCTGACGACCATGGTGCCCGAGACGGGGTCCGCACCTACTCCACAGAAGAGCTGAAGGAACTTTTAAATAAGCTTATGCTAATGTCTGGCAAGAAAGACCACAGCAGCAATGTGGAAGTGGAGAAGTTTTCTGAGGTGAGCATTTGGGTTTGTGCTCCTCCCCACAGGGCCACTCTGGCCTCAAGCTGGGCCAGCCACTTTCCTTACTGAGTTGTGGAGAGGGTCTGCGTTGGCTTTTGGTTGACCCAGAGCTTTGCTCTGATACCTAGAGGGTGATGCTAATGGGTATGAAGGGTGCATGGCACCCCAAACCACAACCCCAGAGAAGTATCTGAAATAGGACAGACCTGAGAGCAGCAGGTCCTCCCCAAGAGCCTCAGCAGGAACTGTCACCAGCTGTGGAGAAGAGATGACCACTAGGTATTCTTAGAAACAGTCACTTTGCTGTCTCTAAAAACTGGCAAGTATGTATTACGTTCCTGTTGAGGAAAGCCTGGTAACAGGAGACCCTGCTTTTACACACACACACACACACACACACACACACACACACACACACACACAGACACACACACACACACACACACACGTGTGCATAGTCTTTATATTGACATCTTTTTTTCTTTCCCTGGACATGGTGGCACACACCTTTAATCCTAGCACTCAGGAGGCAGAGGCAGGGGGATCAGTCCAGTCTGGTTCCACAGGGAACTCAAGGATAGTCAGAGCTATATAGTGAGACCCTGTCTCAAAAAAATAAAAAGAAAAAAAAGAAGGGAGGCCTCTTATTAAGGTTACTCTTTAACTATGGAAGGAATAGCTGTTGTATAATGACTATTAGGTAGATTTCTGTGAGTGTGCTCCAATGAGTCAGTGACAGGAGTCTAAGATCTTGGAGCTGGAAAGCGGGTCAGCATGTGTAGGTCCCTGTGTCTTCCCTTGGCCTCATGGCTCCCATTCCCCCAGGTCTTCAGCAGCATGCAGCGGCTTGTGCATGCCTTCATAAACCTGCACTGTGCAGGCAACATGCTCTTCAGGACTTGGACTGCTGCGGTCTACTGTTGCCCCAGGCAGGGCATCTCCATCCTCATGGACTTTGGCTTGGAGCTGGTGAACCAGTTGAAAGAGAGTGGTGATATCATCGAGCTCCTGGGAGCCCTCTGCAGGCAGATGGAGGACTTCCTAGACCACTGGAAAGCGGTAGTCACTCAGAAGAGAGCCAAACACTTTTACCTCAACTTCTACACAGCTGAGCAGCTGGTCTATCTGAGCAGTGAGCTCGGGAAACCCAGACCCAGCGAAGCTGCCCTCATGATGCTGTCCTTCATCAAAAACAACTGCACTGTACGTGACATCTCAGAAGTCACCGGGTCCTGTGAAAGCAATGGTGCCAGACACTGCCGGATTGAGGCTGTGGAAAATCTGTCTCGGCAGCTACTTTCTGAGTCCAGCTTAATGGGCAAACTTCGGGTTATCATGGAACAATCCATAGTGTGCATGAGTGCCTTCCTGCCCGACTGCCTGGACCTGGATGCCCTGGGCAGCTGCCTGGCTCAGCTGGCCACACTGGCGGACTGTCCCGTGAAGCGGCCACTCCCCAAAGGCCTGCAGGTTGGCCAGCCTAACCTGGTGTTGTGTGGTCACTCTGAGGTGTTGCTGGCCGCACTGGCCATCTATATGCAGGCCCCCAGGCAGCCTCTGCCAACCTTCGATGAGGTGTTGCTCTGCACCCCGGGGACCACAGTGGAGGAGGTGGAACTGCTCCTGAGACGCTGCCTCACACTGGGCTCCCAGGAAGACAAGGTCTACAGCTTGCTGTTCGCCGACCAGCTGAGTTATGAAGTGGGCTGCCGGGCAGAGGAGCTTTTCCGGGACCTGTGCACACAGTGCCACCGTGAAGACTACCAGTTGGTGATAGTCTGTGATGCTGCCCGGGAGCACTGCTACCTCCCCTCCACCTTCAGCCAGCACAAAGTCCCCCTGGTTCCCCAGGCCCCACTGCCGGACATCCAGGCCTACCTGGAGAACCATTATCAGGTCCCAGAGCAGACCCCGTCAGCGGCGACTGTATTCAGAGACAGGATGTGTGTTGGGATCGTGACCTCTGAAAGAGCTGGTGTTGGTAATGAAAGTACCTGGGGGTAGAGAGGTCCCCTTTACCAAACCCTGCCCAATGATGCTTCCTCCTCCAGCAGGGGAGACTCAGATGAAGCCCTTCTTCAGGGGTCTGGCTCCTCTTTAGCTGTAGACCAGTACCCTTTCTCGCCTAGTTTTGGAAACTGGGCAGTTCCCGAGAGCCCCGTTCCCTCCCCTCTGGAGATGTTCTGAAGTTTGACTTCCTCGTAAACTCCCGACCTCTGCTGTCTATGTTGGTTGTGGCTGAGAAAAAACAGACGATTCTTTGGTTGCTGTCTGTTTCCTTCCATCCTGTCCCCTCTTCCATGAACCACACTCTTAGGTAGGAGAGAGTTTGTCCTCCACACACCTGCTCCTGCCTTCCTGACTTAGGCGCACCACCAGTAGCAAGGAGAGGCAACGTTGGTCAGTGGGTGGTAGACAGGGAACCCAGGGATTCGAAGGACATGAAGCCAATAGGCAGTGATGGTCCATTGCATCTGTCTGAATTAAACAAAGAGTAACTTCTATGGCATCTCTATTGTCTTACTCTCTGTCTGTAGATTTGGGTCTAATGTCTATGTTCATATTGCAGGAAAGTCACTCTATGTGAACAGATTGCACGAAAAC